GTCTGGCAGGTCCATATATACGTAGAAACACCCCCATGGCGGGTTTTCATTGTACGTAGCCATAGTGACCCTGCAAGCGCGATATAGCATAAAGAATAAATAAGTTGAAGAAAAAAAAAAATCTAACAATGTAAAGAAAAAATAAAGAAAATAACAATTTAAAGAAAATAAATAAAATAAATAAGTTGAAGAAAAACAGAAAAAAAAATCTAACAATACATGGTGACCGTTCTAATAAAAAAAATAACAGTTCATTGGTCCTGTCCCAAAAACCACAAACACATTCATAAATCCCAACAAAACCACACCGGATAAGGACAACAAAACTACAAACACATTCACAAATCCCAACAAAACCACAAACACATGTCGCAACAACCACAAAACCACAAGACCAACAATAACAGTTCACACCGTTCACAGGAAAAAGACAACATAACGCGACACAACGATTTCCCACTAGCAACACTACCCCCGACCATCGCGGATGACCCTCACCATGAGTGCCCTATCATCTTCCCCCATGCCCAAAAACATAGCAAGCTCCCTTGCATTGTTGCATAAACGCAGGCATATCACCATTCGCTCCTCACCGGATAGAAAGTTGAAAGTTCGGAGCGCATCCATTACTTCACCCATTTGAGCCTGCGTCGCCTGAGCCTGTGCCGCTTGCTCGTTGCCCAGTCTGGCACTGAGTTCGGCCAACCGGCCATCCGTGTTCAGCGAGAAAGTCTCCATGACATCGATGAAACTATCGTCCACCAAGTGTGCGGACCTCCTTTTTGTGCCCCTCGTCTTCCCCCCTCTCTTGGAATTACTTTCAGATGCCGTACCCGACGACTGACCGACATCATTACCCGGGCCATGGGTGGGCTGCGTGGTCTGCGAAGGGATCTCATCGTATTCTTCGTACGGCGGGTCTTGTTGTACATCATGTGCCGCGTCTGCGAAAGACTGGGCATCACCACCACATGCCCTGTCTTTCCCGAATATGACCTCCCAATCATCGAAGTGGGGGAAAGACTTGTTCCTCAGTCCCTTCGCATTAGGATCAACCTATTGACGATAGGTTGGGACGCAAAAAATAAAAAAATAAAAATAAAAATAAAAATGTAATGAGAATATGTAAATGATGTGAAATATATAGACGACTCGAGATTTGGTATTTTAAGCAAACCTTCATCAGCGATTGGTACTTATCATCATCACAGGAGAATCTTTTTGAAACATCATTCCATCCCAAACCCGATTTATTTGCTTTGATATTGGCCAAACTCGCATATGTTTTCTTCCAAACATGCAATTTGGAAGTTATGTGCGGGTCAACACGAATTTCACATCCGGGAAGATAGGTCTTCATCTTTTTTTCCAACTGAAATGCGTAGCCCGTTCTGAAGCCATTTTCCGTTTTCCACCCCTCGGTTACAATATCCTTTAGAGAATTAACTAGGGCATTCTCTTCAGCCGATGTCCGCACACGGCGTTTAGAGGTGGCGCCGCCCTCTTTTCCGGTACCCGATGTCATTGATGGTTCCATGACAATTTTGTTGTAGGGACAATAATATTGTAGCAATATTTTTTATTATTTTTATTTTGGGTTAATAGAGAACTTCCAAATAAAAGTATCTAAAAAAAGGTCGTCAAACAAAATGATAAACAACACATTCAACAACATTAATATTGTATAATAAACAACAAAAGATAATTTAAAAACATTTGTCACACATACTTAGTAACTAACAAAGTCTTATGATAGTACACAAGGATAAGTTTGTTTATCTATTAGGGAACACCGCCCTGCCATTCTGTGAACATTTGTTGGGCTAGGAGATCGTGCTTCTGGGTCCATTCGGGACTACTTTCAACTTGATCTATGTAGTCTTCGTCAGACGGTGGGTTGGAAGGTATCGGGAATTCTGGAATCTCGTTCTCGATGGGTTCTTCAGGCATTGTTGTACGTATAAAATTATGAATAAGCGCGCATGCCATGATAATGCGATTTTGGGTCCTAATGGGGTAAAAAGATTTACTTCTAAGAATTGCCCAACACATTTTTAGAATGCCAAAAGCACGTTCAATCGCGTTCCTAGCTTTGGCGTGCCGAAGGCTGTAGAGTTCTCTAAAGTTTTGTGGAGTACGGGACCCTGTACCCCATTCATCTAAGTTATATCTGACACCCCTATATGGCGATAGAAAGCCAGAACCATTAGTGTAACCACCATCCACCAAATAATATTGTCCTGCATTTTAAACGATTGTGTTATGTTTGATTGAGTGTTTTAAGGGTGGGTGTTGTTTACACTATTTATTCTATAAAAAATAAAGAGAATACCGTTTGGGACTCGGAGTGAATTTGCCCTAGTGATTGCATCTTTTAGTACTCGATTATCAGCAGCAGACCCCTCCCATCCACAAAGCATGTAGACGAAGTTCATATTTCTATTGCACACCCCAAGTACATTAACTGACACTTGACCCTTTCGATTTCTATATCTTCTCATATCTTTTGATGGGACTCGCACGTTAATGTATGTACCATTGAGTGCTCCTAGACACCCCTAATGAAAAAAACAAAAAAAAAAAATATAGTATTAGTTTGGAAAGAGTTGATATAAGAAAATTGACTAAAGGTTGGTAAGGGTTGTGTTGTAGGCTACCTTGAACCATTTCCACCGTGCATCTGAACAATCATCCTCAACTGGGTTAGGTGTGGCGACTAGGATGGTGTGAAGGCGGATTACAGCATCAAGTACACGGTTAAAGTACTTGCTTACTGTTCTACCTGATCTCGTAAAATCAAACTTCAAGGTGACGTTTTTCTTGTGATGTGCAAGAATTGAAAGAAACATAGCAACTTGTTCACTCGGTGCAACGTTTCTTGATTGAACAAGACCCCCTAAATTTTCAAGAAGGAAACAAAGGCGACCAAGACAATTTATGTCCATACGGAGGTTCTCAAGGCACGTGGTGTCACTAACGTCGACTAGCCTCTGCATATGACTGAAGGGGCACTCTATCCCTCAATCGGTATGTGAGTCCGCTAGTCAACGAAGGTCGACGGCAGCGAGGGAGTATGAATTTGTGGTAGTAGTAACTAGCTACTATGAAAAAAATCGAGCACCAAGAACAATCTCTTCCAAAAGAGTGAGAATTAGAAATTTGTCTCGCATGTTATCCATCTACAAAGATTGAACAACATACGGACTTCAATGTGTGTCAAGTCTGTTCAAGTATTTCTACACTATGGAGAAAAGAAGTGTTGAGTTATATTCACACATAACTCCATTTAAGGACCCGCAGTAAATTATGGTTTAAAGTCTGGAACATCATTTTTTTACTGCTATTTTGACTTCATTTTGTACCAAGAACAATTAGAACAAACTAAGCACAAGCAAGCAAATCACACCAATCACAAATGCATGAACCAACAGTTCAAAAAATTTATATGTTTTGTGCAAGTATACAAATAGAATTTCTGAGCAGTATCTTTAATTTAGGCTCCATCATTGACTTGCAATTCTCATCAAACATTAATTTAGGATCC